CATCATAGGTACACGTCAACTATGACAGACAAAATGAGAAAAAAAATCCAGAAAATCACATTGTAGGATTTTTAATTAATTTATTTGCAAATTATGGTGGAAAATAAGTATTTGGTCAATAACAAAAGTTTCTCAATACTTTGTTATATACCCTTTGTTGGCAATGACACAGGTCAAACGTTTACTGTAAGTCTTCACAAGGTTTTCACACACTGTTGCTGGTATTTTGGCTCCTCTAGACCAAAGTAACAAAGCCTACCATCAGTAACACACTACGCCGCCAGGGACTCAAATCCTGCAGTGCAAGACGTGTCACCCTGCTTAAGCCAGTACATGTCCAGGCCCGTCTGAAGTTTGCTAGAGTGCATTTGGATGATCCAGAAGAGGATTGGGAGAATGTCATATGGTCAGATGAAACCAAAATAGAACTTTTTGGTAAAAACTCAACTCGTCGTGTTTGGAGGACAAAGAATGCTGAGTTGCATCCAAAGAACACCATACCTACTGTGAAGCATGGGGGTGGAAACATCATGCTTTGGGGCTGTTTTTCAGCAAAGGGACCAGGACGACTGATCCGTGTAAAGGAAAGAATGAATGGGGCCATGTATCGTGAGATTTTGAGTGAAAACCTCCTTCCATCAGCAAGGGCATTGAAGATGAAATGTGGCTGGGTCTTTCAGCATGACAATGATCCCAAACACACCGCCCGGGAAACGAAGGAGTGGCTTCGTAAGAAGCATTTCAAGGTCCTGGAGTGGCCTAGCCAGTCTCCAGATCTCAACCCCATAGAAAATCTTTGGAGGGAGTTGAAAGTCCGTGTTGCCCAGCGACAGCCCCAAAACATCACTGCTCTAGAGGAGATCTGCATGGAGGAATGGGCCAAAATACCAGCAACAGTGTGTGAAAACCTTGTGAAGACTTACAGAAAACGTTTGACCTGTGTCATTGCCAACAAAAGGTATATAACAAAGTATTGAGAAACTTTTGTTATTGACCAAATACTTATTTTCCACCATAATTTGCAAATAAATTCATTAAAAAATCCTACGTGATTTTCAGGATATTTTTTTCTCATTTTGTCTGTCATAGTTGACGTGTACCTATGATGAAAATTACAGGCCTCTCTCATCTTTTTAAGTGGGAGAACTTGCACAATTGATGGCTGACTAAATACTTTTTTTCCCCCACTGTATGTGGGAACTCCTTCAAGACTGTTTGAAAAGCATTCCAGGTGAAGCTGGTTGAGAGAATGCCAAGAGAGTGCAAAGCTGTCATCAAGGCAAAATGGTGGCTATTTGAAGAATCTCAAATATATAATATTTGGTTTATAATAATAATAATAATATGCCATTTAGCAGACGCTTTTATCCAAAGCGACTTACCGTCATGCGTGCATACATCATTATTATTTTTTTGTGTATGGGTGGTCCAGGGGATCGAACCTACTACCTTGGCGTTACAAGCGCCATGCTCTACCAGCTGAGCTACAGAGGACCACCCATACACCTTTTTGGTTACTACATGATTCCATATGTGTTATTTCATAGTTTTGATGTCTTCACTATTATTCAACAATGTAGAAAATATTACAAATAAAGAAAAACCCTTGAATGAGTAGGTGTTCTAAAACTTTTGACCGGTAGTGTACACCCACAATTGCTGATGATCCAGATACTCAACTAGTCTCAAGAAGGCCAGTTGTATTGCTTCTTTAAATTAGCACAACAGTTTTCAGCTGTGCTAACATAATTGCAAAAGGGTTTTCTAATGATCAATTAGCCTTTTAAAATGATAAACTTGGATTAGCAAACAACGTGCCATTGGAACACAGGACTGATGGTTGCTGATAATGGGCCTCTGTACGCCTATGTAGATATTCCTTTTTTTTTTTTAATCAGCCGTTTCCAGCTACAATAGCCATTTACAACATTAACAATGTCTATACTGTATTTCTGATCAATTTGATGTTATTTGAATGGACAAAAAAATTGATTTTCTTTCGAAAACAAGGAAATTTCGAAGTGACCCCAAACTTTTGAACGGTAGTGTGTACACACACACGCGCGCGCAGGCCATTTCTACTTCAACCAAGTCATGGATACTAGCTAGTTGGAAATAAGTTTTTAGTTGGATAACATCAATTAATTCCTCAAGCCTATCTAGCACGCTAACTTGTGTGTTTACAGTAACGATTTAGCTAGCTAACGTTAGCACTTACAGCTACTCACTTCAAGTCGCGATTCACAGACTGCAGGTTATCTTGAAACGCAGTAATAAAAACCTTTTCGCGTCCTTCAAGGGTTTCTTTGTTTTTCATCCCATCTTTCAGAGAGTCAAAAACCCTTGTTACACTTGAACGAAGTGCCTGAATAGCACTTATTGCTTGAGAAAATGCTTCTAAATTCACACCAACGTTCATTGCTTCCGCCATTTTTTCCGCACGCTGGGATGAACGTCGCATAAACACCGTCATCAAGATGTAGTGCGCAGCAAGGGAAATGTAGTTCTCTCTTTCCGTGCCTGCTGTCTTCTACATTTTCATTTTCGTCATTTAGCAGACGCTCTTATCCAGAGCGACTTACAAATTGGTGCATTCACCTTATGATAGCCAGTGGGACAACCACTTTACAATATTTTTTTCTTTCTTTTTTCTCTTTGGGGTTGGGGTAGAAGGATAACTTTATCCTATCCCAGGTATTCCTTAAAGAAATTTGCTAACTGCCAGTATACATTTTCCCATTCAACTACTTCTTAAATAATTTTGAACTACCGTTATATTGCTCTCTACAAACATTGTGCATTGTGTCACTGTCTGTCTGTGACAATAATTTGGCTTCATATGACCCTGTAGAAGTGGGTAGGCTGTTTAAGCCCATTGGTCTGTGTGGCCAGGCATCAGGACCATGGACAGCTCAACTCAGGGTTCTTCCCTGAGAAGCCCCCCTAGGCTTTGATGCTGTTACTTACATTTACATGTACATTTTAGTCATTTAGCAGACGTTCTTATCCAGAGCGACAGTTACACCCATCCAAAAGTTGCAAATTAAGGCTACTTTTTTTTACTATCCAGCTTAATTAGGTATCAATTTGGCTATTTGCAATTGTCAACAAGGAAAATGAAATGTAAATAGCATAAGTTATAGCTTGCTAAAGGTATGTAGGCCTACACTAGGGTTCCCCAATAGGCTGAGCGAAAACTAGAGATCCTTATCTGTCTGTCTTTAGTGATTTTTGAGCTGCTCCTTTAAGCAGGACGGGTAGCCCGATCGGCTCATGGGGTGGTTATATTTCTGACTGGTAAAAGTTGCGTAGATACAGATCAGATACTGATAGCCAAATATGGAAACGAAAATATAGCAGGAGAACAATGGCAGGAGGGAATTTATGAAATAAGCGAGTGTGTTTATGCATATGGGAAAGTGATGTCGAGAGAGAGCGCGCGAGAGAGCTCTTTCCTTCTGCCCTTGAGCGCCTAGTACAAAACCGAAATCGTAAAAAGTAATGGAACATGAATTGAGGCAGTACCACTTCTGAAAAAGTCTTTAAATGTAATATATTTCCAACAAGAAGTCAACTATTGCGCGTACGGGATGTATAGGATACCATCCTAACAACGCACTGCTTTCCTCAAAAGTATACCAAACAGAAGGGAAACAAACAGAAGGGGAGAGCATCTCATCTAATCCTCTTACAGAAGGGAATACGGTAACGTTAAGCTTCATTTCAACGACGAACCAATGCAGAGGCGTTAGAATGCTGAGAACACTTTTGCAAAGGATGCACCCATGACAGAATGATCATACCTTCCCGGAGCAATTTGGTAAGTGTTCGAGTTCTACCGTGAACATAGAGGATGGTAACTGTTGTAACTGTGCACCTTCAAAATTGTATGGGCCTAATGTTTATAATCTTGCAACCAGTGACTTGCCACAGATATTTCTTATAATCAACCATTATAGCCTACATTTGAAGACAGCATTAGGCTACACACTTCAGAGAAATTCAGAGGTTTGGAAAGGGCATCAACGTCGAGAACATCAGTTGTCCACATATTGGACAAGTCCACACATTATCAAAGTTGATCAGATTAATTATTTTTATTTGCAAATTGTAGACTGCAGCATAGGTCTGTCACCATCTGCCTGGGAGAAGTTGTCGACAGTTCCGTTACCTCTGATGGCAATAGTTGGCAAACCCAAGAGCGCAACAGACATCCGTCTGTGGGGACTAGGATATATTTTTGAACTTGCAGTTTTGTTTGGGAAATTCATTAATTAGGGTAGTATTGTGAATATAGATTGGATGTGAAAACAAACGTGAAAGGTTACAATATTATTTATTTTTAAACTACGGTATAGCCTACCGACATTAATTAGAACAGATTTCAAATGGGTTCAAGTTTCTCTAATGAAAGATTTATGTTTAGCCTAATTGCTAGTTGTAAAAACCGTAGCCTATTAGGTATAGTTTTAGTTTGCCTTATTTGGCTGGAAATGTGAGTGGCAATTCTCCCAAAAAAGTTAAATAAATTTTTAATAAATTATTGTATTTTCTCCTTCTCAATATAGCTTTTGACTGACATGAAACACAACAAAATCTCATCTAGAGAGAGCTTCTGAGTGGACAGTGGAATATTCTCATGGACATATGGACTGCTTTTAGTATGGCTTGCCTGGAGTGCCAAAGGTGGTCGATCTGCGAAATATTAGCATTGTATACATTTCTATTAAAATAAGCTCTTGTAACTATAATTTAAAGTAATACTTTAATTGATTTGTTTTTATCATAGGATAACAAATATTTCAAAACAGAAGTACGTGTATCTTATTTAGGCAAGCAACATTTGTATGCAAAACCAGCAGAGTTGTAAGGCTGTATCCTGCAAGCGGCAGGTGTCCCTCCCAAGATGAAAACCAACCGGATTCCAAGCTGATCCTCTCCCAGTGTGGACCGACGGTGGCACCACTTGCCTCCTCCCTCCTGACTCTCGGTCTTGGACCATGGGTGTGGTCTCTACGAGTGCCATGCTCTCACAGGTGGTTTTTCTTTTGAACTTTGTTACTCTGACACTTGGCCAGTATGACATATGCAAGTCGCTGGTTAGTACGGACGATGGACCAACATGGGAGTTTTACGCGTGCCAGCCCAAACCCATGGCTATGAAGGAGTTCATGCAAATTAGGGTGGATCCTCCTGGCATCACTTGCGGCAACCCCCCAGAGAGGTTCTGTACTCTGGTAAGTTTAAGTTTTAATTCAATTGGTGTAACACCAGCACTAGTTTAATACTTACATGATTTTTATAGGCCTACACTCTGTTGAAGTTTTGTCTATATAGCAGAAATCAAAAAGAGTGATGAAAACTGACATGGAAGGTTTTCTAGAAATTAGGATATCGGTAGGGTATCTGATCCTAGATTTGAGATAAGGAGAAACTTTGATCTAGAACAAGATGGAAGGAATATGTACATTTTCTATGAGACAACTCAGGACAGAAGAGTTTAAAACTACTTTCAGTAGGCTACTTGTTATTATAGTGAAAATGTCAACAAAAGACTTCAAGACACAATTACATTTATTTTGGAATCACTGCCTCAATAGATACAATACATGGCCAAAGGTATGTGGACACCTGCTCGTCGAACGTCTCATTCCAAAATCATGGGCATTAATATGGAGTTGGTCACCCGTTTCATGCTATAACAGCCTCCACTCTTCTGGAAAGGCTTTCCACTACATGTTGGAACATTGCTGCAAGGACTTGCTTCCATTCAGCCACAAGAGCATTAGTGAGGTCGGCCACTGATGTTGGGAGATTTGGCCTGGCTCGCAGTCTGCGTTCCAATTCATCCCAAAGGTGTTCGATGGGGTTGAGGTCAGGGCTCTGTGCAGGCCAGTCAAGTTCTTCCACACCGATCTTGGCAAATCATTTCTGTATGGACCTCGCTTTGTGCACGGGGGCATTGTTATGCTGAAACAGGAAAGGGCCTTCCCCAAACTGTTGCCAAAAAGTTGGAAGCACAGAATCGTCTAGAATGTCATTGTATGCTGTAGAAAAACAGCCCCAGACCATTATTCCTCCTCCACCAAACTTTACAGTTGTCACTATGCAATGGGGCACGTAGCGTTCTCCTGGCATCCGCCAAACCCATATTCATCTGTCGGACTGCCAGATGGTGAAGCGTGATTCATCACTCCAGAGAACGCATTTCCACTGCTCCAGATTCCAATGGTGGTGAGCTTTACACCCCTCCAGCTGGCACTTGGCATTGCGCATAGTGATCTTAGGCTTGTGTGCGGTTGCTTGGCCATGGAAACCCATTTCATTAAGCTCCCAACTAACAGTTATTGTGCTGACTTTGCTTCCAGAGGCAGTTTGGAACTCAGTAGTGCGTGTTGCAACCGAGGACAGACGATTTTTACGCGCTTCGGCACTCGGCGTTCCCATTCTGTGAGCTTGTGTGGCCTACCACTTTGCGGCTTAGCCGTTGTTGCTCCTAGACATTTCCACTTCACAATAACAGCACTTACAGTTGACCGGGGCAGCTCTAGCAGGGCAGACATTTGAAAAACTGACTTGTTGTAAAGGTGGCATCCTATGAGGGTGCCACGTTGAAAGTAACTGAGCTCTTCAGTAAGGCAATTCTACTACCAATGTTTGTCTGTGGAGATTGCATGGCTGTGTACTCGATTTGATAAACCTGTCAGCAATGGGTGTGGCTGAAATAGCCAAATCCACTCATTTGAAGGGGTGTCCACTAGCAAGTCTCTTTGTTTGGTTACCATGGCAACTACTGTAGCTATCCAGTAAACTTGCTACTACTTCAGCAACCTGGTCTCATAAACTAGACGTAACATAGTAAATGTAAATCTGGGACACTCAAATTAGTGTGATACACTGACCAAAAGTATGTGGACACCTGCTCGTCGAACGTCTCGTTCCAAAATCATGGGCATTAATGTGGAGTTGGTCCCTTCTTTGCTTCTATAATAGCCTCCACTCTTCTGGGAAGGCTTTCCACTAGATGTTGGAACATTGCTGCAGGGACTTGCTTCCATTCAGCCACAAGAGCGTTCCTAGAGTGATCTGACCACTCATCTTATGGAAAGGTAAACGTGCCATTAGTGGCCCATTACCAAAAGGCCTACCCCATATATCTAGAGACACAGTCACATATTTAGACTTGCCATGACTCTCACAGTGCAATCTGATACAGTGTTCTGTAGCCTATGTTACATCAATGACATGTTATGTACTTTAGATATTGAAGGAGTGCACTCAATTGACAACTTTTTCATGCTTTCCTTTCGGAAAGCAACTTCATTGATTAGAATAAGCCATCCCCAGACTGAGTATGTTGGCTTTCGTTGGAAAGCTTTCCGGCTCATGAATGATTTAGAGCACATTTCAGCCACTAGGCCCACAGGAGATGCCGTTGCATTTATACTCAGTGCTTTGCCCCCCTCCCTGCCATGCATGATGTTAGCTGGTGCTGGGAGTGGGAGTGCACTCTGTATGTAGCATTGTTTAATGAGAAGAGGAGGGAAGGAGGGAGGGAGGGAGCTAAGCAAAATGACAAATCTCGACCCACTACTGATGTAATTATACACACATTGAAAGACAGAGAGGAGACAGACACTGTCCATAAGTGAAGTGAGGCATCACTGCCACTCTCCATCCTATGTGCTCAAATTATTAATTACAAGTACTCTTTTCAACAGTAATGGTCGCAACATATTAGATATAATCCTGCCTCACATTGCATTTGCCCATTTTAGAATGCACAAACAGACGGAACTAAAAAAAGCAGTGCAGATTACAGCACAGCAGTGGAGTGCGCTATAGTAAGGATTCAAATTTGGTACACTATTTGCAGTAGGTTAAAATGCATGTTTAGATTAGATCATGTGAGGATATGTCACCATATTTATCCTACCGGTGTAGAGTTACTGTAATGTCACAAAGGTGCAGCGTTGGTCAGTTTTGTCCTGTGTCATGAATTTTACATGAGTCCTGGCAGCTTCAGCCCCCCTCCTGTGCTCCCAAAGGGTAGCGATTTCATCCCGTTTCGCTATGCCCACATGCAATAATCTCCATCTGCCTGTTTTCATGTCACTGCAGGTCTTGGAGTATTCTTCAAATTAAATTGTTCGTATGGTAATCCTCTATGTCATCCTTTCAGGGAATTACAAGATTTTTCGGAAAAGGTTTTTGATTGATTACATTCCGATGTATGCTCATGATCTGAACAGCCTTTTTATAGTGCTATGAACATCATACAGTGTGAAATGGTGTGTGTGTGTGTAGATTAAAAGACAGTAGGCAGTGGCCCATGCTGGGACAGGTGAGGGTCTTGTTTTGTCTCTCGTATAATTAGGCTGCTGTTTTCCAGATGTTGTATCAGGAGCTTCCTTCAATGTAATTAAGTCAAGCAGGAAAAGAGAGGAAACACATCTCACTAGGTGAGGGAATAGCAGCCCTAAACACTAGCTTCCCATACAGTACATAGCTCATGGCTCCCCATCTACACCAATGCAGTTGGGCATTTTTGTGGACTGTGGTACCGTCCAAATCTCTGGGCTGTACTGGCTCAACTGGCGTTCTCGTTTTATCGTCCTGGTCCTCTCGTCTCCTTTTACATGACCTCTCCTCTCCATTTCTGCTACACACACTTTCTTGTCTCTTCCTTATCCCTCCCATCTATTTCGGTCAGTGCAGTTCCACAGATGTCCTTCTGATTGGACTTAACAATGTCGACTGGCCTCTGACTCAGTGAATTAACTGGCCAGGTCATCTTCAGGGGAGAGGTCAGTGATCCCCAGCCACTCGCAGTCAGGGTGACCCTCATCAACAGAGCTGCCTTCATAATGCCATCAAACCACAGCTTAAAGGGGAGATCAGTGGAGGGCTTCCACTCTAGCAGAGAGGAAAAACCCTCTGTTATCGTTGAGGATAGAATGTTGGAATGTCTCAAAAACACACAAGAAACCTATTGGTCAGTGAAAGGGGATCAAGGTGTGCGGTTCTCCTCCAGTGTGTGTGTGTGTGTGTGTGTGTGTGTGTGTGTGTGTAAGAGAGGGGGATCCATTCTGAATTCCCTGCGGGCTGTCACTAAGAAGTGGGCAAACAGTCTGCTTAGCGCTGGGTTGCTCTTTAACTGTGACAGGAATCCAGTGTGGATAATTGCTGGAGCGGTTTAGTGGTGAAAGCCACCTGGTGTAGCAGTTGGACTGGATTTGTGTGCTCTGTGGAAGGAGGCAAGGATTGTGGGCTAAAGGTAGAGGAAGCTGAGGCTCTGGCTTGGGCACCTGTTGTGTGTGGTTCTCGTAACACCATTGACATAAAGGGGAAAGAATATACACTACATGATCAAAAGTATGTGGACACCTCCTTGTCGAACATCTCATTCCAAAATCATGTGCATTAATATGGAGTTGGTCCCCCCTTTGCTGCTATAACAGTCTCCACTCTTCTGGGAAGGCTTTCCACTAGATGTTGGAACATTGTTGCTGCGGGGACTTGCTTCCATTCAGCCACAAGAGCATTAGTGAGGTTGGGCACTGATGTTGGGGCGATTAGGCCTGGCTCGCAGTCGCCGTTCCAATTCATCCCAAAGGTGTTTGATGGGGTTGAGGTCAGGGCTCTGTGCAGGCCAGTCAAATTCTTCCACACCGATCTCAGCAAACCATTTCTGTATGGACCTCATTTTGTGCACGGGGCATTGTTATGCTGGAACAGGAAAGGGCCTTCCCCAAACTGTTGCCACAAAGATGGAAGCACAGAATCGTCTAGAATGTCACTGTATCCTATAGTGTTAAGATTTCCCTTCACTGAAACTAAGGGACCTAGCCCGAACCATGAAAAACAGCCCCAGACCATTATTCCTCCTCCAACAAACTTTACAGTTGGCACTATACATTGGGGCAGGTAGCGTTCTCCTGGCGTCTGCCAAACTCAGAGGGTGAAGTGTGATTCATCACTCCAAAGAACGCGTTTCCACTGCTCCAGAGTCCAATGGCGGCAAGCTTTACACCACTCCAGCCAGCGCTTGGCTTCTCAGCCATGGAAACCCATTTCATGAAGCTCCCAGAGGCAGTTTGGAACTCAGTAGTGAGTGTTGCAACCGAGGACAGACGATTCAGCACTCGACGGTCCCGTTCTGTGAGCTTGTGTGGCCTACCACTTGGTGGCTGAACCATTGTTGCTCCTAGACTTTTCCACTTTACAATAACAGCACTTACAGTTGACCAGGGAAGCTCTAGCAGGGCAGAAATGTGACGAACTGACTTGTTGGAAAGGTGGCATCCTATTAACGTGCCACGTATTAAGTCACTGAGCTCTTTAGTAAGGCCATTCTACTGCCAATAGCCTACCTGGAGTGCCATTTTTGGAATTTTCTATTGGTTAAATTGCAACAGGCAAGCTCAATCAAGCACAGATACAGTATTTGAGATCATTTCGAATGGAAACCGTGTGGGTGAGGATGACTGTTGGTGACAAGACGTGTGACAGTTTGCACTCAGGTATACCAATGTGACACATTAACACTGGGATTTAGAGGTCAGGGATGACCACATGGCAGGCAACCCCCCATGTTAATCCATTCTGTGTGTAATCCATGTGTGTCAGTAGAGCAGTGTTACAGGTTAAGGGTAAAGTGAAACATCTACGACACTCTTGAAGCTATATATTGTCTGACATTTAGGTATGCAACGCATTTCAGTAGTCTCTCTGATCTTTTTTGGAGTGATGATGTAATTTGATTCAATGCAACACTGTAATTTACAATGTGCATTAAATGAGTGCCATTATAACCCGATTATGTGCAATTATTACCCTGTATGTAGGAATCCCCAGATGGCTATCCACCAAACAGAGCTCACAAACTGTTTAATGGGGACATATGCTGAGCATGTTAACATGTTGGGACAAGCACACAGACATGGTCTCAGGGGGACCTGAGGTTGGCCAGATTGTTTTGGAAAATCTGTTGTTTCCCGGTTGTTTCATGTTGCGTGGGTGTATTTTTTGGTGGGGCTAGTAGCCTATATAAGATAATGATAATTTTGACTTATTTCTCATTAGCAAAGGCATCCAAAGAACCAAGAAATACCATAAAAACATCAGTTGTATAGTCTACTTTGAGCATGTGGGAACCTTTAGGGAGTAATTCCTATAAATCATATATTCTATGCTGAATATTAACAAAGAACTCACTCAGTGTGGATTTAGAATGTTAACAAATGATGAGCTAGTAAATGTGCACTATTTTCTAAAGGGGAAGGGAGACTAACAGTGTTTTCCAACACTGATCAGTTGTCTTTTCCCCCGTTCCCTCTTTCAGGAGAACCCGTACCTGTGTAGTGACGAGTGTGACTCCTCCAACCCGGACCTGGCTCACCCTCCCCAGCTGATGCAGGACCGTGAGCGCAGTGGCCTCATCACCTACTGGCAGACGGTGACGTGGAGCCGCTTCCCGGAGCCCCTGCTGGCCAACATCTCCCTGGCCTGGAACAAGAGCCTGGAGCTGACCAACGACATTCAGGTCACCTTCGAGTATGGCCGCCCCACCATCATGGTACTGGACAAGTCCCTAGACAAAGGGCGCACCTGGCAGCCCTACCAGTTCTACGCCGACGACTGCATGGACGCCTTCGGCATGCCCGCTAAGCTGGTGCAGGACCTGTCGGCCACCAACGTGACGCGGGTCATCTGCACAGAGCAGTACTCTCGCTGGGTGGGCTCCAAGAACGAGAAGGTGCTGAGGTTCGAGGTGATGGCACGTTTCGCTATCTTCGCGGGGCCCAAGCTTCTCAACATGGACAGCCTGTACACACGCATGGAGAGTATGAAGGGCCTGAGGGACTTCTTCACTTTCACCAACCTGAGACTGAGGCTGTTGAGGCCGGCCCTGGGGGGAACCTATGTCCAAAGAGAAAACCTCCTCAAATACTTCTACGCCATTTCCAACATAGAGGTACCAGCCAGGTAAATACACACACCTACCTCTCTTTGCCTTATTGGACAATATCTCTTGCAAAGATACTTGAGTCAAAGTCTATTTTGTAATCAATTGAGAAAATGCACGGTCCTAATGGTATACTATACAGTATCTTACTCTGTATACCAGAGGAGGCTGGTGGGAGGAGCTATAGGAGGACGGGCTCATTGTAATGGCTGAAATGGAATTAATGGAACAGTATCAAACAAATCAAACATATGGGGCTCCCGAGTGGCACAGCGGTCTAAGGCGCTGCATCTCAGTGCTAAAGGCGTAACTACAGACCCTGGTTTGATTCCAGGCTGTATTGTGATTGGGAGTCTCAAAGGGCGGCGCACAATTGGCCAGCGTCGTCCGGGGTAGGCTGTCATTGTAAATAATAATTTGTTCTTAACTGACTTGCCTGTAAAAATAAATGGAAACCACAAAATTTTTTGGTGGTATTTTACCCCCTTTTTCTCCCCAATTTCGTGGTATCCAATTGGTAGTTACAGTCTTGTCCCATCGCTGCAACTCCCGTACGGACACGGGAGAGGCGAAGGTCGAGAGTCGTACGTCCTCCGAAACACAACCCAACCGAGCTGCACTGCTTCTTGACACAGTGCCCGCCTAACCCGGAAGCCAGCTGCACCAATGTGTCGGAGGAAACACTGTACACCTGGCGACCGAGTCAGCGTGCACTGCGCCTGGCCCGCCACAGGAGTTACTAGTGCGCGATGGGACAAGAACATCCCTGCCGGCCAAACCCTCCCCTACCCTGGACGACGCTGGGCCAATTGTGCGCCGCCCCATGGGTCTCCCGGTTGCGGCCGGCTGCGACAGAGCCTGGACTCGAACCAGGATCTCTAGTGGCACAGCTAGCACTGCGATGCAGTGCCTTAGACCACGAAACCACATGTTTGACTCCATTCCATTACTTCCATTCCAGCCATTACAATGAGCATGTCCTCCTATAGCCCCTCCCACCTATAGCTCCTCCTCCCACTGTATATTAGTAGGAAAAGAGTGCCCAATATCTTAGCTTCTGATAAGGAGCTGTGTAGGAAACTGTCCGAAACACAAACCGGTTTGATTCTGTTAAAGAAACGTTCACTCTCTTTCTGCTGATAGTCAATTCTATAGCAATCCAATCTAAGTGCTTAATTCAGTAACCTTTGCAAATATAAATATTGATCAAATTAATGAATTAGCCTCTCCTGGCATCATTGCATTGCCCAAACCTCCGGTAATATGAGCCGTCAATCAATAGTTATTCCTGTATGTCAAAGAGCAAATTGTTTTTAAAGGGAGTTGGGGATGGGGGTTGGGGGAGTTGAGTGGTCAAATGGACACATGGAGATAAGGTAAAGAGCCCATGACTGATGTTCACTGGTTTATAATGATCAGGGAATAGAGGGGAAATGTTAAGCTAATACCCACTGGAAAATTGTTATTGGATATTTTATCCCTCAGTATTGGGAAGCGCTTGCAGTGTTTGAATAATGGGGATAGGACGGCCTCCCTGATGGCCCGTGTGTGTGTCTCCCTAAATAGACTGCACACACAGAGAGAAAAGGCCTGTAATGACATCAGGTCCATCAGCACAGGGACGGAACTGCCACCGTCGCCTCCTCCACCACCTCCCCTGATCCTCCCTCCTCCTCCTCCCATTCCTCCTCCTTCTCCCCTCCTCCTCCCCCTCTCCATGGCTCATTTCCCCTTGACATGAGGAGCGCAGATAATCAACCGGTGATTAAACCTAATTTGATAGAGCAACAAAATCAAGGCCCCCTAATTGAGTAAGATGCAATGCTACTTGTGAGAGGCAGGCTAAATTGTCTTATAATTTCCTATTTTGCTGAAATCGGATTTGAGCCTTGTTTCATGGGTTTTGTTATGAACTCTTCTGATAATGCTTGGACATTTAGATAATGCTTGTTCACAAAGGCTGCCGTGGTAATTGATATTTCCACTGGATAGCACTCTATTTATAGCCCTAAACGGAAGGAATATAGAAAGCAACAAACATCATCATCAGGTTCCTTTGGTTATTGCAAAGACTCTCTGATGTAGTCAGTTCTAAAGTGGTAGTTTGAAGCGGCCCCAAGGAGGAAGGACTGTAGCTTGCCTGTCCCTTCACTTGCACACCGGCCTAGAGCAAACCAGATGCATCTGTTTGTCCCATTCTGTCCTTACATCTTTTTAAAAGAAGGATAGAACAAGAAGAAAAGAAGGAAACCATCCTCAGACCTTCACTCTGGTCACTCTTAGCGTACATGGGTTCTTTATTTTCCCATAGCCTGAAATGAATCTGTCCGCTCAGAAAACAACTACACGCACTCAAGCCTGATATGGCAACATCTAAATAATCACCAGCTGGCGTGGATGAAGTTGAGTTGCCCGGGTAGTCTATAAGTAGAACATTACAAATAATGATGGTGTGAAGCCTGTCTGTGTCCAGAAGGCATTTGAAAACCCTTTGTTTGTATTATACAAACACATGTCGAAATGAAGAATATTGTTACAATCAGGAAACATTGAAATAAGGGGTGAAACTAGGGACTGTCACTGATAGGTGGATTGGGGTGAGAGTGACCCTGGTGCCAATTCTCTTGTTTGGGGATGGAGCCGTGTCAGATGTGACGGATGGATCCAGTTGTTGGGTGTAATATATTGGCATAGCCATTATCCCTCTGACCTCCTCGCCCACCTTCCTCTACTACACAATGATAGGATACATGTCAAGCTGTCAGGAGAGACCACCGTGTCAGACAGACAGAGGCCCCACTAATGCTAATGCTATTCATTTGCCTGAGGTCTCGGCACCCATCACAGTGGGGAAAAGGACCTTGACATGAACAACTCTTTATCACGTTGAACCATTTCCCACTAAAGTTTAAGTTTCACTCGCCTGTCTCAAGTTAGGGTTCCAGGGGCCCACCTTTTGCTGTTCAAATGTTTCAGAAACCGTTGTGAGAATCCTTCCACACAATATCACAGTCTAACTGAGTGGAACAGGTGATTTCCTTGGGCTGGGACTAGGGAGACACATAGGCAACCTGATTATACAAGTGTGGAGGAATACGTCTGCGTGCTAACATTATTTCTTTTTCACAACAAGGATCCTGCAGGCAGAGCTGACAGTGGCATTTTGGCCTCTCTCCCTTTAACCTAATTCCCATCTGTTTCCTGCCACCTCTCCCATTGGAAAACAGATACATGTAAAAAAATTTTTTTTTACAAAAATGTATAATACAGACAGGTAAACTCTTACAGAGTAAGTGGATTAGTGGGAGAGACAAATAGGACAGGCAGAAAAGGTACAATATTTCCCTCCCGATCCTCCAACATAGAACCACTCACCTTTACATTTGCACCACCCCAGCCCACAATGCCTGTTAATTAATAATGTAGTAATATACAGAACACAGGCATGACTTTGTTAACTGTGTTCGGCAGTGTTGGAAGAGAGTTCTCCAGCCTAACATTCAGATCCACACAGACAGTCCAGTTGTCATCGTGTCCTCTAAGGCCTGTGTACAGTATGGAACACAGAGTGGCTTCACTCCATTGCTGGTGTTGCTGCGCTGTGCTGTGACTGTGGAGGGATTTGAGCTGTAAAGGAGACTGGGTGGGTCAGAGAAGCCCAGAGAGTGCGTTTCCCCCAGACGACAGTCTGTCACACCTGACAGTTGCAGCAGTGACCCTCTCAGCCTCATGGGCCTGTCCAATCACAGATGTGAAAAGTATTATGGGATATATCCTTTCACTGTCATTATGACATGGGGCTGGTCTCTGATACCATCATTTTAACTGCCTATGCCCTTATAAGGTAATATTTTGAGCGGGGTAAAAAGGACACGTGTGTCTGGAACTGACTCTACTCAGGGCACACTCTGGATACATCTCTGTAAAGCAAAGTAGAGTCAATTAGATTTAAGATGATGCAATTTCAGTATCATCTCCGGACGACTCTCTTGTCTTGGGTAAAGTAAGATTAGGGATGAAGTTAGTGCACTGCTGCTACTGTATGTGTCGATACAGTATTTCTGTAATTTTTTGCTTTGGTCTGCAATTGCTTGTGTATGATGCAGGCCTTGGCCTAGTTTTGGAACAGCTTGTGCTTCTAGAGCGGAGTCGTGTCCTGTAGAACAGTAGTATGAGGAAACACATTATGAATGAAAGGGTTGCAGCGTGCGGGTAGAGGGCCACTTAAACAACTCTCATGAGAGTCTTGTGAGTTTGCTTCTAAGCCCTTACACCATCACTGTCCGTCAAATATCCAGTAATGGGCCTTGGCTATGGTGAAGGTAAGGTAACATGATCAGTGCCTCCTTGTCTGGAGGAAATGGATGCCTGCCCTTTTCTGGTCTTTCTCAAAGTCCTTCGGCAGTTTAATGAGTGGATGAGTTCAGGGTTGGGTAGGTTGCTTTCTAAATGTAAACCATTACAAATACTAGTTACCTGTCCAAAATTGTAATCAGTAACTTAACTTTGAATTACCCAAACTCAGTAACGTAATCTAATCTTACTTTTAGATTACTTTCCCCTTAAGAGGCATTAGAAGAAGACAAAAATGTATATTACCAATTGAACGAAATCTATTGGAAGATAAATCAATGTTAGAGTTTACATAGCTGGCCATAAATGGATGTTGCATTTTACTTTATGGGTTATGTACATAGCCACGGGATGTACAGTAGTTTGGGGGTGGGGATGCTGCGATTTTTGACTGAGGGGGGAAGGTGGGGGGATGCAGAAAAAAAAAGATTGCCCACACTGAAGACGTCTATATCAGTCCGCTAATACAGGACTTGTAATGGCCCATTGCACTACTTTTGTGAAAAAAACTAAACTAAATATATTTTAGTATTTACCAGCATTTGTAACTTGTGTCTGATAATTATCTGTAGAAAACAGTTAATCTGATAATACTACTGGAATATAGAAATACTTGCTTGATATGTTTTCCAGTTTCTTGAATTACTTTGCAAATGCAACTTATTTCTATG